GGACTGAGCCAAGGCATCGTCCTCGGGGAAGGCCACAGCGAAAGCCTGCGCTCACTTTCAAAGAGCTCACTTTTCAACGTGAACCAGTTATACTGGTTTCTAAGCCCTGAACTAGTTCAAGTTGATTAGCACGAACTGAACCAAACCAACTCCATCCACAAACAGGTTTGCACCAAAATATATACTAGTCGAACTAACTGCACTGCCACGTAGTTGCACTGGGTTGTGTCTCAAGGTGCACTCTTCACATCTTACTTAAAATGCATTGGTTAAACCCACAGACAGCTTCAATGCTCGGCTGACTATCTACTGTAGTAGAATAGACCAGCTGGAGTGTGGTGGCACAGATGTAGCAATGGCATCGCATGCTGCAGCAAAGAGCAGTGTGGTTACATACTACCCTACAGTAACATCTGAAAGCTTTAATCACATGAGTTACATAAAGAACCTCAATTTAATTATTTTTTTTTTCTATTCAGAGCAATTATGCTAACGGACTAAGAAAGAGATAGGTCTCATTTGTCTAACATGTAATTAAAAAGCAGGTATCACAAATAAGAAAAATATATCACAGCCTGCTTCTTTACTCACCTGCACACTTTCACTGCAGTTTCAGAACTGTGCTGGTGGTGGCCAGATTATCCATCTCACTGCAGCATTTCTGGTCTTGTCCCCCAGCTCTCTCACTCCCGGGGTATCCAGGGGCAGCAGCACCAGAGTTCAGGCCTCACCAAAGTCTCATCTGCATCGATGAACTGAGCAGAATCAAGAAAAGTCAAACCAAACAAATCAGGAGCCAGAAGCTACAGAAGTTTGTATCAGTTTAACCCCTACCTTAGTTTATACCATGTTAAAATCTTTATAGTATTGCAAGAGAACAGCTAAATGTTGAAGTATGCTTCCCTTTATTTATATTCAGAATATTGTTGTCCCATTTTGTGTACTCTATACATTGATCTTTAAATCATATTAAATATCTTGGTTTTTTGATGTCTCAATGTTCACTATGACTTGAAAAAGTTACATCACAATCTCCAACATGTGTTATCCTACTGCCCCTCAGCTGATAGGAATTCTCTTTTTGTTCCAGGTGCTCTGCAGCACATATAAATGCTAATAGCTCTGACAATTAATGCAAGCTATCCCATAGTTGAGTTGGAAGAGCTTTTCTCTTTTAATAGCACTATTGATAAAATAGTAAACCAGAAAAATGCTAGAGATAATACAGCCTCAAAGAGCTTACACTTTTACACTAGATAAGAATATAAACTTACAGCTGAAATGATACAGCAGAAAATTATTTAGGATACAGAGATCATATGCAGGTATTGTTCCAAACAAGAAGACAGGAAATAAGCATGAAGTGAGGAGGGTCAAGAAAATGACATTTTTATCCATATATGTTTTTCTCAAGATGTTATTGTAAGCTAAAAGACTCAAAAAATTTAAGTTACACATTCAGGATCCAAACTTTCCAATTAGTTTAAAATAATAATTTTTTCCAGCTTCAGACTGTCCCAATGTCACCAGTGGTTGTGCACCAGGTTAGTGATGTTTCTCATCAAATGATACTTGGGATCAGCACCTCAAATTATTTCCTTTCCAATTAATTCAATCTCCTTCCCTTAGAAACTCTAAGCAACAGCAACAACAACAATAATGTAAACCAAAGTGCAGTCAAAATACACAGTGAATAATTAATGTGAGAGGAAGCAGAAGACTCTAGAAGAAAAATGTAGCAGACTCAAAATATTTATCGTGAAGAAGAAAAGACAGAGCTGACACAAGCCCAAACCTGCAGAGATACAGAACCAAGGTCTCAGAGTACCAGAAAGTCACTGAACATGGATTTCACAAACCATTGTTACAATAGCATCTTTTAAAACACATAATAATGCAAGAAATACAAACTGCAATCTTGTTTAAAAAGGGATTTCCTTGCAATCAGAAAAAAAAAAAAAAAGAAGAACCACCCAAAATTATGTTTTGGACCATGAACTTTGCTTTATAGGATACAAACTGAAGCAGGATAGGAAATACAGGGTGGAAAACTGCAACAACTTATCAACTGGAAATCAGGTGTAATAGCAGAGTGACTCATAACAGCATGGAGAAGTTTGGAAGGATGCGAAGAGACATGTTTTGACTGTGAAAATGCCTCGCGTGTTAAATGTAAGGAGCTGTTTGTCCCCAGAGTTGCACTGGGGATCCGGGCAGCAGGCACAGGGTGGACAAAGGCACGCACAGCTACGACACAGTGACTGCTGGGGTCAGGAAACAGATTGACTCCACCAGTACTTCTAAAGACTTTTCTTTCCCCGAATTTTATTTATTGCCCCCCACCAGAGATTCTTTGGAAGCTCATCATATAAATATTTGCTTTGAGAGGAAATGTAGAAAACCAAACAAATAAACAAAAAATCCCAACAGCCTCCCACCACTTCACCCTTCAGCCTTGTGAGTCTCAGGCTTCACTGCCTCACATTTTCCTTCAAGCCCCAGCAGGCTGCTCTGTCCAGACCATGACAAATCCAGTTGATTCACCCACACCGGCTGCATTTCCTTTGGGAAATACTTAATGCATTGACAAAATAAACACTGTTGACTCATCCCAGCAACACGGGGCACACGCACATGCCTCCAGACACGCCAGGGATCCTCAGAGTTGCAGAACACGCCGTATACAGTTACATTTTGGCAAGTCCTTTAAATTAGAAGCTCATCTCTGACGAGTCCTTTTAACTAACAGTTCATCTCTCGGAGAGTCGGTACAAAACTCCTCCGCTACACAGCTGGGGGAAATTCTCGCTCATTCTCCACGTTTCCTTTCTAAATAATTTTCTTTTTTTTTTTCCCCTCTCTAAATAAAGCTCCTTGATAATCTTTGAAATTATAGCGGGGGGGGGAAGCACAGCAACCTTGACATGCCACAGGGCTGAACCGCAGCCGGGACACCAAGCGGTAGCTCCACAGGCACCATGGAGGCGGTGCTGGTTATTTTATGACTTTATCCCAGCGTGACCTTGCCCGATAACAGAAGACCCTGCAGGGGCTCCTCACTCCGCGCTCCCGCCCGGCCCCTCAGGGACGCTCCGCCATCCCCGCGCCTGCGCAGCGCCCGCCCGGCCCCATCCGGGTCCCGCGCGGCCATGGCGACGGTGGCGGAGCTCAAAGCAGGTCGGGGSCCGGGGGCGGCCGGGATGGCCGTGAGGGGGACGGGGGTCCCGGCGGCCCGATGGGTCTCGGAGCTGCCCCAGGCGCTAAAGGGGCCGCCGCCCTTCGCCCCGCACAGCGCACCGCCCCCTCATGCACAGCGGGCTGTATTCCGCTCTGTCTCACTGTTAACCACATCCTGCTCCGGTTATTCCTCTTCTGAAATTAGCGAGCGTGTGTTTACTACTAAAAAAAAAAAAAAAAATTAATTTGTGACTTCTCTGAAGGCTTAATTTTTGCCTGTGACGTGCCTGGAGCCGTTAGGCACCGGCACGTGCCCAGGTGGAGATACCTTATCGCTGTCGCGCCGGGGACGCGCCGGAATTATGTTTATGCTTGGATGGGTTGGGCTCTAAATTAACAGATCTTTCTACGGTAACAGTTTTAAAGGACACGCTGGAAAAAAGAGGCGCTCTTGGAGAAATCAAAGCGAGGATCAGAGCTGAAGTGTTCAATGCACTGGACGACCAAAGCGAACCTCGGCCGCCGCTGTCCCATGAGAACCTGCTGATCAATGAACTGATCCGTGAATACCTGGAATATAACAGATACAAATACACAGCATCTGTTCTAACTGCAGGTACCGGGGATGACTTCCTGTTATCGCTATAATAATAGTCATTCATTGTTTGAGGAATTCCACTGATACTATGGAATTAATAAGGCGCACAATCTTGTTCTCCCTTGGAAATTAATGTGGTACAAACAACCTCTCCACAGCTTTACTTGCAGCATAAAGCTAAATCATAGTCTTAGTTTTTGAGAAAACTTACACTCTGCTCCTTTCACTTAAGTTATATTGTTTATAGAGTAGTTGATGCAAGAGCAAGAAAATCTGCTAGCAGCCTGCAACAAAATACTTTCTTGAAACATCTAATAACAGTACTTTAGAGAGATACTTGTTTGCCTGATTAATTTATCTTTATACTGTAAGTCTTCTTTAATATTTTTCTTAGATCCTTTTAGAGTGAAGATAAAAATGGTAATGTGCTATTGCAAATTATATGAGTATGAAGCACTAATGTTATAAGTGAGTTCCCTGGAATTACAATATACTGTTAGTTACTAATAGTCTAAAAGGGAGGTGTGTGCTCTCCTGCTCTTTTGAAGTCTCCTGCTAATTGGTGATGTTTTTCTTACCAGTCTTAAGAATTTGGGGAAAATCTTTTTTCCAGAATCCGGCCAGCCTGAAGTGCCCTTGGATAGACAGTTTCTTGCCAAAGAGCTGAATGTAGTCGAAGATGCAAGTGGAAAATCAGTGTAAGTAGGATTTTTAAAATGCTCTGTATATTCTGTATATCAGTATATTTTTCTCTTTAGCGTTATTACAAATCACATATAAATGTTCTCACCAATTGAAATGTGACTAGATCACACACCTGGCTCTAATGTGCTGGATTCATGGCAAACATGGGGCCATTTTCAAACATACTCCAAACTACCATTGAATCCTGCCAACACCATGGCATTCTCCAGATAAGAGTCCTTGCACACCGAGTCTTTTACCAGCACAGTCTGTTTGCTACAGGAAACAGGTATGTTCTTTGCATATCAGCAAGCTGCTTTGTAGAGCAATAAAAAGATTATTTTACTGTGAGATTAGATATAAAATTCACAGTACTCTGATACAAGGGCATCAATGAGCTGAGGGCAGAAGCAGGTTTAAGCATGTTCAGCAGTCTCTGTAGTTTGTGCTGTCCCAGTCTGTCAGGTGCTTAGGAAGGACCAAGTTTGGGGTGTGCAGTGGTGGACTGCTGTATAGCCCACCAAAATCTGATCCTTCATGACTGTGTGGATCCTTCTGATCCACAAAGGAGAGAATGTGGATGTGTTCTTGTGCTAAGCAAGCTCTGCTTCTTCACCTACCAGGGGATCTGGAGTTCAGTGCAGAGCATCTCCTATCCCAAGCTCTTTGGGGGAGTATTGGTATTCAGAGTGAGCTTAGGTCTGTACTTATTTATGTATTGATACTTGGCATAATGTATTTTATATCATTATAAAGACATCTGTACATAGTCTAGAAGTAAGTATTATGGTCTAAGAAGTTCCAAGGAAAGGGTGTATTTTTAATTCTCAGTATTTATAGCCTCTACATAGACTACTTTGTAATTTCTCTCTTAAACAGACCTCTCCTGTATGGAATTATCTCTCATTTCTTACATGGTGGTAAAGAAGAAAGTACACACAATACCTTTCCAAAAGGGTCTTTGCTGAATTATCCAAAGCAGAATCTTATCAAACCAGCTGCTGAGAGAAATCAAAAAGGTGGGTCAGTGTCATTTTTGCAGAAACTTTATTTGTGACTAGATTTCCTATACCATACATATGCATAGAGCAGCATAAACATGCAGATGTACTACTCTGCAGTTGTTTGTAAAGACCAGTCCTCAGTATCAGAAAGGTCATACACCAGATGGCTTCACCATTTCCCTTAAACTGGCCAAATTGTACTCCCTTATACTATCACAAATATGAAAAGGGTCAGCTAAAGACAGTCTTACTACATTGGTGATTTAATACAAGAATTTAACATAAATTCTCAATAAAATATATTAAATAGTGGGCATATCTCTGTTTCCTATCTGGTCTAACTTACCTAATTTCTGTAGAAAGTTCTTAACTCTTTAGCTGTCAGTTCTGTAGATGGGCATAAACCTTTTCTGAGGACATAATTCACATCCCACTGACCACAGGAGCTTAAGCCCTGAGTTCACTGCTCTATAGTAAACACTGCTAAATCTTATTTGCCCTTTCCGGTCTGCTTTCTGATTGGTTACAATTAATACTGCCTAAGCTACAGGATGAAAGGGTTCATTGGTCTAGTTTTTTCCTTCAGAGTCTGCTTGGCATATTGCTTCATTTTTTACTGTGAGAATTTAGTACTGTCCTGTTAGTACTATCAACTGTTTGGTTTGTATCCAAAAATTTGAAAAATACGAGGCCTGAGATCACATAGACATCTAAAAAGTGTGAGAGAAGTACCAGCCCCCTTTTTTTAAACAATGCTATTTCCCTTCTGCCAGAAGAGGGGGCTGAAGAAATAGAATTTCCTTACCAAAACTGCTATAAATTTCTTCTTTGTTAGAAAATAATGATTCCTATCAGAAATTTCTCCATTTTTAAAACAAACTTAGTGTGCAGAAGAACTGTTTTTAAAGTATAACTTTGTCTGTCAGTTCTGAAGTTGTGACACTGTGCAGGGTCGCCCTGCCCTGTTAACTCCAATATAACTTCACACAGAGATTTAATTGGTTACAGTTAGTTACAAATTCAAGATTAATCATATTTAACAAGTAACTTGCTCTTCACGTTAGAAATTGTCTTGCTTATTTAGGTGTATGAATATTCCAGCAGACTGGGGATCCTGATAAAACGTGGATTCTGTTTTTCAGTTCATTCACTATAGCTGAGTTGGAAGTTGTCTGAAGTCTAATCTTGAGTAATGCAAAGCTTTTATCTCAAACAGGTGCATGGAAACACTTATTTGCAATATTGCCTGGTTTTGATATTGTTTATCAAAGTTGATAATAATAGAAAATAACACACCTTTAGGTCTCCAAATGCATGAGAATATTTATGTCTGTGTTTCATTTTCAGACAGAATTCCAGAACCAGGGAGGATGGCTGGCACAAGCATCGAAGAGCCCCTTGTTTTACAAAGTGTAAAGAGATGACATCTTTTATTCGCTAATTTCTCATATAAAGTTCTGTAAGAGTTAATTTAGGACATTCTTCTTGCATAAATTTCTCCAACAAATCCAGTGGGACCATTTCAGCTTGTAACATCTACCCATGAGACAAGGACGACGAGGTCATACTTACTGTCAATGAAAAAATGTTAGCAAAGGCTCTCCTCCTCCAGTGCTGGCAGAAGGAAAACTGGATAGGAGGTCACATCAATGAATCCTGTGTCTAGAATTTGGCTTGAAAATACTGGGTTTATCCAACAGATTTTTGTTAAGTAACTTACCATTTCTGCACTTTCTTTACTATGTTATGTCTTTGTGTGTTTTTCCTTTGTTTCTTAATAAAATTTTTCAATGTTATTCTGCGTGGTATTTTGAGAGTGTTCAAACTAAACCTTCTAATCATCTTTTTGAAAAGGAGAAGCTGTTAATTTCAGATAAGTCAGGGAAAATAAATTTTAATCGAAAATTAAAGTGCTTTAGAGGGATAGTTGTTTTTAATTCTCCGGAAGCGAGGACTATTTTTATCTTAATGCCACCAAACAAGTGAGGGTAAGTTTTTTTTCCATCTGGAGTTGCTAAAAATTGTATGGTCTAACACTGGGTATATGGGAGGGGAAGGAATTTCTGGGTTTTTTTCCCAAACAACACGAAACTCAAAGTCAGGCAAAGCTAAAAATAAAGTTTGTAATAGATTACTGATTCCCAGAGCTCTTTTTTAGCTGAGGTATTTACATGTTTTGAAATTTATTTTAGAAGCCAAACTTAGAGGAGTACATAAAAATAACAGGTCAGCTATTTTTTTTCACTACTCATTTTAACAAAATGTATCAATGTTAAATGTTTCCAGTGGTACTGAGAGGAATTTCATATAAATAAATTTTTAGGGTAAGGTTCCTAAAAATCTTAATCATTACATAAAATGTACAGTGAATAGGGGGGAGAAAAGAGAAGAAGAGAACGTGCAGTTTGTGAAGGACCCTGAGTTGTACACACTGTGAAGTTTTGCCTTTGTCTTGATTTGACCCAGTTAGCATTGCAGGTGTATTTTTATTTCTGCCAGGAGGCTCATCTGTGCTCTGAAACTGCAGAGAAGTTACGAGTTGAAGGGAGAGGCTGCATTTGTCCATTTGAAGCCTCAGCAGTGAGCTCATCTCCCTGCTGTGACTGGCAATGCCCCTAGCTCTCCCTTTGCTCATTTGTGAGTGTCTCAGGACTGTTGCCAGAAGGGGAGGACGTGTTTGCAAATCAACCTCAACCAAACCCATCTGTAAGTCTCCTGTAGCTTTGCATCAATGGCAGTTGACTACTGGGTCAAGCAACTCTGTCTGTGCCTTCAGTGTTTGCTCTGAGCTTGCACCTCCTTCAGGTTCAGCTCCTGGGCTGAAGAGCCATCCCTGTAAAAGCTACTCCATGGGATTCTGCCTCGTTTCTTGGGTCTTGCCTGCCACACTAATGCAAATAATCACTGATCTCTCTCTTAATTTCTTTATCAAAATATAGTATCAAATAGATCTCCTAAGGCGTTATTTGTGAGTCACCTTCATTTTGGAATGAGCTGGAAGTGCCTCTATGGAAAGTTGCAAAAATGAATTTCTGAACAATGCAGAAATGATTGCTCTGGCCACAGAAATCCCTGACTTTTTACTTTGGTTTTCCAGGGGTTAAATGCTAGCCCTCTGTTTCTCCAAATTGTTATGTATAATTTGGATTCTGAATTGTCTTCTCAAGGGCAAAATAAAACCACTCTGGGAAACACAGAATCCCTAACCTTCTGTGCTATGCAAATGTTTCAGTGTAACCAAAACCACTGCCTCTGCTTTCTGTCTTCCCAACATAGATCATTCAGATGCTGCCCAGGTGCCATGGAGCTCCCTGGGAAATGGATTTTTAGTGGTAGAAATGAAATACAATTTTTGCCCTGGTTGAAGAAGGCAAAGGGATGTTTGGTACTTACCCTTTCCCAAGCAGACAGCTCAGCAGGCTCCTGGTCTCCACAGTCCAGAAAGCAGAGGCTGTTACAAAGGTGTCATTCACTGAGCTTTGAGGTAAAGGTGTATGCCTGAAATCAGAGAAGAAATATGTTTAAAACAGAGGGAATTTGGACTATTTTCTTGGGGCGATTGAGCCCATTGTCCAGACACTGCACTGGGACAGCGAGTGGAAACTGGCCTGTTTGCTCCTGGCTCAACATGCATTTCATCTAATTCTCCAATACCCTCACAGTCCAGATTTGGGGTTTTGAAACAATCTTTCGTTTCAAAGTATAGTCATTGTACAAGTAATAAAATCAAAATAAAGTGTATTTCCAGTGATATTTATTTGTACAACAGAGCTTTGAAACAGGTCTATGAAAATATACTCATCATTATTATTAATGGTCTAACATTTATCTTGACAGTACATGAAGTATCAGAGTATCTTTCAAGATACTGACATATAGTGAGTCTTAGGAATGAATGTCAGACTGCCTGCCTTGTTAATGGGTGAAGAGGAATTGCAAAGCTATGGTTGCACTTATTCCTTAAAATTTTAAGGTAAGCAAGATCAATATTTAGATGGACATAATTCGCAATCCTAGAGTTACAAGTTCAGGGTTTAGAAGAAATTGCCACCTGGGTGAGCATAGAGAAAAATTATTTTCTCAAAGAGTTTCAGAAGCACCATCTAGCTTAATTACAGCCTGGGATGTCTTGAATTAACTGCCCTTATTCTTTCTACTGACATCAGAAAATGAAAAAAAGGTTATAAGCACGTAGAAGTTTAGGGGCTTTAATGAGCAAAATGCACTTCTGAATTTGTTGGAGATAGAACATTAACCAAGAGATTATGGAGGGATTTACGTTAAAAGAGGCTGCTGTTCGTTGTCTAAGCTCGTTATCACAAGTGAAGGTGACAAGGAGCCAGTGAAGTTTGCAGTGGATATCAGATCTGGAAAATACTTCGGAAGAACTGAACCCACAAGTTTTAAAAATAAAAAAATTCTTTAAAACCCAATTTTTGCTTTCCCCTAGAATGAGAGCAGACTATGTCTCCAGACTCCACAGCACCCGTGCTGCTTCAGAGGTTTGAGTTTCTGTCGTGCACAGGGGAGGCTTTTTCCGAAGCTTTATCAGCAGCTCCGAGGACTCGGTTACGTTTTCCTTCCTGAGCACCCCTCGTATCGAGCCCGGGCTCGGTGTCAGTTGATCAGTTTTCCGGAGCAGTGATTATCACTGGTAATTACGTTTAGGAAGAGAAACTCAAAATATTTGTTCACGCTTGCAAAGACACCCTTTCAGCAGCAGCTGGTGCCCAGCTGATTCAAACTGACCTGTGCTCTCCACACACTTCACTCGACCTGCAGCCAGCGTTAAGCACAAAGCTTAACATTAAGCAGTTGGCGAGTATTTTACCTCATCAGACTGTTGTCATGATTAATTGTTCTAACTTGGACAAACACTGTCCCTCCTGTTGCAAGGGCACAGCTTGACACAGGTGGTAACCCACCGGTGCACTCATCAGTTCCTATTACATTTGTCAGCTTAGAGAAATGTGGTTGGTAAAACTTAAGTAAAACTATTTTGAAACAAACAAAAAAAATTGCTTACCTGACACATTATTTAACAAATTAACATCACAATCTGTGCTTTTCTTTTTTCCCCTCTGCTCTGTTCAGGTTACACCACACTAAAGCAGCTGAAAGTTCATTTCTTTCCTTCTGGGGTACACTTTTTTTTTTTTTACAAGTACAATATTTATAGTGTAAATTCAGCAAGGAAATATTTAAGGACAGGCTGCTCAATATTTTTTCCAGAAAATTAATTAAAACAAATAAATAAACAAATCAAGAGGGTTTAAATAAAGCTTTTGTTGTTGTTGTTGTAAAGTCATTGCCCACTGGGAATCCCCAGCTTTCTTTTTGAGGCAACTTTGGTTTTAAAAAAAAAAACAAAACACGACATTCAGGAGACCTCAGCCAGGCTATTAAATTAGTATATTCTTACATTAACTTATAAGTGAAGGTTGGAAGCCATGCTTATACTTATCAGTTTCTACCCCACACAGCTTGAGACTGCAACTGTTTCAGTCCCAACAGTAATATTTTTTTAGACTTTCCAGCTCCCTTTAATGTCACATCATATATCACCCTCCACCACTGCCGCTGTTAAACACCCTGCTCGGGCAGCAAGCCTGCGTGTGCACATGCAGCGGTTTGCAGACCAGCCAGAATAATTTCCACTCCTTTTTAAGCTACTATTATAATGTGTCTGGTTTCGTGAAACAGCTGCATGCATTTAAAAGGAACTTCTCAGGGTAACTTTGATGAATCTCAAAATGATCATACTTTTCAGAGGCTCCCCTTGCGCTTCATCTTTTTTTCTATTTAAAAGCTAAGTTTGCAACCGAGAAACTACGGGGAAGAAAATGGGGTGAACTACCCTGTGAGGAACTTTCTGCTAACAAGGGCAAGTTTCTTGGATTTATGTTGTGGTGATCATTTCCCTTGGCTTTGCTCCAACAGTCACACATGCACGAGTCTGATATGACACTGCTGCCTTTTGGGTCCTGGGAAGGCCCCGCGTGGCCCCGCACCAGCATGGACAGCGACCCTCCAGCTGGCAGGACAGACCCCAACCCCTGGGGCTGTGCCACCACTGGCAAACCTGGACTCCTCCAGGCCAAGGCCTGAACACAAGCCTGTACCTGATGTTTCTGAAATGTTGCAGGGAAGAAACCCCTGCAGTGCTTTTTCCCTCCCTCCTCTTTGCCCAGATTTGTTCACCACTTACTAGAGCCAGAAGAAGGGGCTCTAGTACAGGTCTATCACACCTGTAAGTTCCTGACCGAGTGACAGCAGGGCTTTTCAGCCCATCCTCCCCTCACAGGTATTTTCTTAGGATGATGAGACTAATATGAGCCTCATCCATCTTCCTCAGGAGAGTGTATTTTCCAGAGAGGACAGGGCTGTTGATGTCAAGAGAAATAATTTCACTCAGGCCGGTGCTCTGATCCTTTGGGTATACACCATATTTAGTCTGTTGCTGAGAGGGGGTTGTTTCGGTATTTTGTATTTGGCACGTTGATGGGAATTCCTAGAGGATCCTAGCTTTCCCTTTTTGGGATGTCTCCATCCACAGGTCCTACTGCACAAGGCTGTTGACTACTAGTGGGAGAAGGAGGGGGGACAGCTGGGGAGTGAAAGTTTATAGGGGTGTGAGGAAGGTTTGATGAGGAACAGATCATTCCCTAACCCCTGAAGATCTAGTCCCCAGTTCCCTGTCCTCCTCTTCCCCCAGCACATGGTACCTGCTGCCTGTTCATTCCACTGCATCCTGGGGACAGTTCCCACCAGCTATTTATCTCTTTTCTTCTACCTTTTATGGAGAGAGAGAGTTATTTCTTATACATGAAAAAGTATTTAGAGTCCTTTCTCAAGAACTGAGCTGCACACTGAATGGCAAAAGAAACTTTGCAAAATCTGCTGGAGAGGTGGGAAACAACTCTTGCTTCCCAGGGGCAAAGGAGGCTTAAACCAGCCCTAGGCTCCAAATGTCACATAAACATGGGGAGACCCAGAGCAATCTCCACCCGCACACCCCTGCTGTATTAGGAATAACCCTCTTTGCCCAAGCAACTCCTGAACTCAGAGACCTATTTTAGCTCCAAGAAAATTCACTGATGGTGGGTGGGAAACATCCTGTGCCATGCAGGACTGTGACCTGCCCTTTGCCCTTGTAGGCAGAGGGCCATGAGGGGCAATGCTGCTGCCAAGGCAGGAAGGAGTTAAAGGTCCATGTGCTTGGTCAAACAGTTTCACCCTAGGGAAAAGCAAAACCTCTGAACTTGTGAGTTAGGGGCACCTATTTCAGTTAGGAACACCCCTTTCCAATTAGGGGCACCCTTTTCAAAAGCCAGAACCAACCTGCTTCCCTAAAAAGCAGCTCAGGACAGGGGCAGCAGCCCAGGGTTAGGCCCTGCTGGGAGTGAGGTCCTTGGCTCAAGCTGTCTTTTTTAAGCCAGGTACCAAGAGGATTTTCCAGCAGGACGTGGTTTCCAGGGCCCCTCCCCACTGACAAGATTCTCCTCCTCTATATAGGGAGGCTGCAAAGGCAGTGAGGACTTGGGCTGTCCCGGCTGGTGGCTGTACAGGTTCCGACTCTCCAACTCACTCTGCTCCCCTAATTGGACACCTGTAAGTACCACAGGGGGTGCAGGTCCCCCCAGGGCACCGGGCTGGGGGCTCAGGAGCTTTGGGATGGGGCGCTCTGGCAAGTTAACTCTTACACTACTTAGCAAACACATTCAGAGAAATAACCTGCAGACAGGACTGGAAGTGGGAACAGACCCATCAAAAGGTTTATCCTGATTTGTGTATCAGTGGTTGGGTTCAAGTTAAACTGCATGAGACAGTGCATGTTTGAAAGCACAGATGTTTCAGCCTGCTTTTTAGGCACTTTTAACACTGCTATTGCTGGGTTGAGCCCAAAAAGACACTGGCTGCAGGCACGAGTTGCAGGCACTGGCTGAGCCCGTGGCAATGCAGCCCACAAGGTGCAGGGCAGTGAGGATGGTCACAGGTACCTGCTGCAATTACCCATCACATGTAATGAAAATACCTGGTAGCCTGAACTGCTGATCTTCTTTAAGTATTCCTAACCTTTCAGTCCTCATAAAGGAGTGTTAAAAGAAATTGGAACCAAATGAAATAATCAGTTTGTCAGTAACTTGTTCTTTAGACAGGAAAAATGCTTAAAAATTAGACTAAGAAATGGAAACATTTTTACATAAATGCCCCAGCATTACATATACTTGTTTTTAATATGCTGAGAATAAATTTTAAGCAAAACTAAGCTGATAATTCACTGAGCTACATTAATTTCAAAGATGGCATGCCTTTTTTTAAAGGGAAAATAAAGCAACAAACTTCTAACAAAATCCCATAAGTAAATTAAGACGACAGTAGATGGCAGTACAGAAAGCAGCTTCAGTGTCATCCCCGAGCTCCACTGGCTTCTTTCACACATACATATACGTGTGTTTGTGTGTATGTGTGCATGCCCATGTATAAAAATGTTGATA